AGAGTTTTTAAAGACAGAGAGCCTCCGACGAGAGGAGAAAAAGGTCGCTGAACCCTGGGATTTGTTGAGGGGAAGGGATGTTTTTCAACACTGTAAACAGCTCCACCGGGACCTCGGTACCTCAGACCTCCAGCACTGGGGTCCGAACTGCTGCACCTTTTCCCGAGCCCGTGAACGACCAATCCCAGGAGTCAAAAACCCCCCAACACCTCTCAGGAGCTCACATTTTCCAGAGGGTATTCCAGAGGTAATTGCCAAACTCCCTGTCTCCAAAAGACGTAAACTAGATTTGGATACGCAGATGGCCGACATGGCCGCTTTGAATTGCCTGGAGGCCAAGCGATCGGGGAAGTTCTTCACCCTGGAGCATCCGAGAAACTCCATTGCCAGAGACCTAGAGTCCTGGAGGAGGTTAGAGTCGGAAGAGGGGGTGTGGGCCACGGAATATCACTCGTGTGTGTTTGAGGGGAGTGAGAGGAGGAAAGCCCAGGTCCTCATCCACAATATCCCCGCTTTGCATAGTAGTTTAAATTTGATTTGTAGTAGTAGCCGAGTCTGCGCACGCACAGGCAGACACCACCTGAGAAGGGGATGGTCACATCCTTTGCGACAGGCCTAGAAAGGGAGTACCCGGTGGGCTTCTGCGATGCATATGCGAAAGCAGTGTCAAACGACACACAAAGCCGCATCCACTCGTTCGTTGAAGTCTTCTCAGGCCCCAATGCACCCCTCTCATGTGCCCTCGCAAAAGCCTGGGGAGTCTATCCCCCAGTTCCTCCGGATACGGTGAGACCACCAGGACCGGAAGAGTCAGAACTGTCCACCGTGCAAATGGGAGAAGCGCAGCCCGTGCCTCAGATGTCGAGCGCCCCAGACGAAATCCCCACCGGAGCACCGGAGGGCGTGTTGATGGGGAAAGCCGGAGTAGAGAGTACGCGGTCGCGTGCGCAGGCCGTAGAGGCGGCCAAGCAACCCAGCTTCGGGAAGCGGCAGCAGCTTATACCTAACGGGTTAAATGACGCGAGGCTGCACTTGTGCCAAGCACGCAGGCTGAAACATCCTTTCTCCACAATGGAAACCCTAAAGAAAGATCACCTTGAGTGCCTGGATGCATTGCGGGAGGAACCCGCAGCGTTGACTCGTTTTCGGCTGGAACAGCTAGCGCGAGTCAGAAAACTCAAAGCAGAGCTCGAGGCTGAGCAGGCGAGCGCTAACGCCTCCGCGGCATGGACGGCCAAAAAGCTCAGTGTCCGGCCCAACACCTGTCTGATGAGTCGCCTGCAGACTCTTCTACACATCGAGGACACAGAAGTTCCGACTCTGTGCCTGGAAGGGATGCGCATTACGGGGAGGGCACATTTATCCCCTTTCTTCGAACCCTTTGAAGTCCGACCGTCCATGTCTCGAGAGAGTTTTCTCAACGGGTGTCAGGAACGCTCGTTGGCCATGATCGACAGAGTCCGACACATGGCCCAAAAAGGCCCCCCAGAGCTGGCTCAAGCCATCTGGGAGAAGACCCAACGTGAAGTGGCGGCAGGGACCATGGGACCAGCCCTCACACTAGATCAGGCTCATGCAAAGTACGGTGCTGAAGTTCAGGTCACCCCGAGTTTCGGCCTGGCTCAAGGCACCAAGTATCGTCGAATAGACGACCATACTGCATCGGGAGTAAACCAGATGGCACATCGTTTGCAGAAGGTGCCAATGACCATGGTCGATTACATCGGCGTCATGCTTCGTGCACTAGCAGCACATTTCCCGTCTGTCAAACTGGCAACGGAGGACATGAAATCCGCGTATCGGCAGATAGCTCTGCATCCAGCGGACGTCCGGTTCGCGATCACCGCAGTGTACGACCCAGTCAGTGATGTTGTCGCACTTCATGAGATGTACGGACAACCCTTTGGTGCCGGCCACTCAGTTCCCAACTTCTGTCGGGTCGCAGAGTGGATATCGCGTTGTTCAACCCGATTGTTTCACACCTTTTCAGATCACTTCTTCGACGACTTTTTCTGCCTGGAGCCTGCCTCCACTGTTGACTCCGCTATCTTTTGTATCAAGGCTCTCTTCGCAGAGCTTGGCTTTCAACTGGACCCTGACAAGTCGCAACCCCCCTCGGAGACTTGCGCAATCCTGGGCATCATGTTTTCTACCCAGAGTTTAGCGGCTGAGCGCAGGATTTTCTTGAAGGCCAAGCCGTCCAGAGTTACCAATCTCTGCGACACTATCAATCAGGTCCTGGACTCAGGGCAGCTATCGGCCGCCTCCGCAGCCAGTATTGTCGGGAAATTTGGTTTCCTGTGCTCCACAGTGTTCGGCAAAGTGGGAAGGTGCTGCACTGGCCCTTTGCGGGCGCGACAGTATACTCCCAACACAAATTTCAAGGCCTGACCCCTGATCTCAAATGGTCACTCCACATGATGCTTGCCTTCCTCAAAATGTGCCCATCACGCGAACTATTCCTCGTTGACCGCCCCCCAGTCATCTTGTATACAGATGCTTCAGACGTCCGGAGCGGTACTCATCATCCCGGAATCCCAGCAGCTGCTGTATTCCGCTCAGGAAGTTCCTCTCACTATGGTGGAATCCTGGCGTCCCCGGAAATCTTATATGGGACAATTGGAACTTGTTGCCCCACTCTGGGCCCTTGATCTCTGGGCCCCGCTC